CGCCGGAAAACTTCAATCCCAAATAATGGCGCTAAAAACCGTTATCCCATTTCCAATTTTCGCGCCAATTCCAACTACCACCTCAACAACCACCACTTCAACTACCGAAGTTCGATTTGCTCGTTGGAACAACGCTAACGCCGAGAAATTCGAGCGAAATCGCCGTACCCAGCAGCAAATCGAAGATGACATTCGTCGTTTCCGGCGGTTTGAATCTGCACTCAACATTTCAGCTAGTTACGACGCTGATTCCGGCGTCGCAACACCAAGAAACCCCAATTTCAAATCAATTGGGACCCCTTCGAAGCCTTCAATTTCGTCAATTCCTGGGAAAAAATCGAAATACTCAAAACCCCAGAAAAACCCTAATTCTGAAAATGGTAATTTTACTCACCCGGCGTTTCGGAGGGTTGTGAAACGGGTGAAACTGCCCGAAACGGGTGTTGGGGGTGAAACGGATATAAGGGTTGGGGAAAATGGGGTGACATATGTGGTGCCAGGTGCTCCGTTTGAGTATATGTATAGTTATACTGAGACGCCTAAGAATGTGAAGCCCATTGGGCTAAGGGAGCCCGCGGTTACGCCGTTTGGGCCGGGGACAATGGGCCGTCCATGGACTGGTCGGAAGCCGTTGCCTGGGAGTAAGAAGGAGTTGCCGGAGTTTGATTCGTTTCGAGTACCGGAACCGGGGAAGAAAGGGGTGAAGCCTGTACAGAAGCCAGGGCCTTATCTTCCGGGTTCGGGTCCGAAGTATGTGGTGTCTAGGGAGGAGGTGATTGGGGAGCCTTTGACGCCGGAAGAGGTTAAGGAGTTGGTGGAAGGTTGTAGGAAGACTAAAAGGCAGCTTAATATGGGTAAGGATTGAGTTTGTTATTACTAGTATTTGTTTTGATACCATGCTTGTGTTTGTTTTGAGGTTGTTGGAGAAACTATTAGCTTGATTTGTGTTTTTATTGCATAAATGTCTTATAATTATGAATGTATTGATAATCAAGAAGTGGAAAGGGCTGCTGGTTCGATTCATGCCAAGAGGTGTTGGGGTTATAGGTAGGCTGTACTCTTGGTTTATTGTGACAGAGTTATATTAGGCTAGTGCAAAAACAAACTGATAAAGGAAAGGGATAGGAAAAAAAGAAGGAACTTTTAGCCACGATGCCAAGTTGCCAATAGCTGGGTTGAATTGGATTGTTGGTTGTTACTTGTGAAGTGAATTAGTCGTCTGTGGTAAATTTCAAACTGATGATTGAGCAAATTAAATGTTTGTTACCTTGTTAAGATTGACTCTGAGGCTGAGTCTTAGCATAAGAATTGTAAATGCTGTGAAGCTTGTAAAGATTATAAATGTGATGATGTTTTTGTGTGAGCCGGGGGAGGGGGGGGGGTGTGTTGGGAAATGGAAATTTTAATCCTCATTTTATGATTGATGTTTATTTGGTCGTTTTGGTAAGCAAGTGGTGATTGAACGAACCAAGTAAGGAGACTTTAGATGTTATCATTAGGATCGGTCATTTCAAGTTTCCACTTGTAGGAAACCTCTATTATATTAAGCTTGGAATGAATCAGGGTTGTATAGCTTGTATTTTACAATTCCACTAGTGACTATCCTGATTCCCTCTGAATATGGGTGGTGGTGTTTGAAGGGATCAAAAAATGGGAAATTTAATCGGAAATGTAAATGTCTAGCATTGTGCTCCTGTGTGTCTGCTTTTATGCTATTAAAATTGTGACTTCAATGTAGTGTATTGGTGGGGTTTAATTGAATCAAATACTACTCTCTGATTAGGAGTCTAACTATAATTAATTGATTGAATGGAGTTTTCAAGAAGTGTGGAGTTCTTGCTCTGTCACAGAGCCTCTTTTGTTAAACTAGGTAATATCCTCCAGTAAGGATTTGGAGTGAATTAGTGGTTTAGAATTAGAATTATTATTCCATTTGACAATTGACATTGAAGTAAGTAATGTTTGGCTCTTCCTTTCTGAATTAAATTCAGCCTTTTTTTGTAGGTAGAGATGGTTTGACACACAACATGTTGGATAACATCCATGCTCATTGGAAACGGCGGAGGGTTTGTAAGATAAAATGCAAAGGGGTTTGTACTGTTGACATGGATAATGTGTGCCAACAACTAGAGGTTGGTGTGCTGATGATAACGCTAAGTTTATATTATTTATTTCTTTTTCCTCCTAAGTTTCTGGGATGTTTTTGTTTTCAAACTGCCTACTTTCCTAGTTGTTTTGGCCTGATGTTTTCCCTGTTCGGAGTTCTTAAAAGTCTTAATAAGCAAAATTTTATAAAAGCTTGTAACTACAAAGCACAGTGTTTAGACCTCTTAGCGAGAATTTACAAATTACGACAATGGTTGGCAAGTTTGTTAGATTTGGTAGCAGCAAACTGACCTGAGTGAAATAGACGCATTTGACTCATGTGAGCTTGCTTCATGAAATCTGCATACCGTGTTTAAAAATTGATTGTCTTTCTCTAAATCCAAAGGTTTTTGTTTGATTATTAACATATGTTTCCTGTCAATGTAAATAATTATGTGCTTCTGAGTGGGTGCTTGTATAGTACAAGTAGTCAATAGTCATCACTCAGAAACTTTTCTCCAATATACTGAAGATAAATCGTTGCAAAAAGTAATTACAAAATTATTCATTATACATTTATACTGCATGATTTTTACCTAAAGGACATTGTCAACTTAAGTTTTTATATGTTGCAGGAAAGGACTGGAGGCAAAATTATACACCGTCATGGAGGTGTTATATTCCTTTTCCGTGGTAGAAACTACAATTACAAAACTCGACCTCGCTTTCCTCTTATGTTGTGGAAACCTGTTACACCTGTGTACCCCAGATTAGTCGCACGTGTTCCAGAAGGGTTGACGTTGGAAGAGGCAACTGATATGCGGAAAAGGGGACGCGAATTAACACCAATATGCAAGCTTGGTATGCGCGTGCTTCTGCACTGTTTGTTTGGTTTTTTTCGAGAGCCGGGGGGGGGGGGGGGGTTGTGTGTGTGTGTGATGGATAAGGTTCATTATCTACATTACTGATGGAAATAATATTTGTTTGCTATCTTGCATAACAGGGAAAAATGGTGTATATGCCGGCTTAGCGAAAAACGTTAAGGAAGCATTTGAAGCATGTGAGTTGGTTAGAGTTAATTGTCAAGGATTGAACCCCAGCGACTGCCGTAAAATTGGTGCAAAACTCAAGGTCTACTTTTATCTCGTTTTATTCACTTTGAGTAGTATTGACATATGCTATTCTTCTATGTGTTAATGGAATCGTTCCCTTCTTGTGTGCCTTTAGGATATTGTCCCATGTGTATTGATTTCATTTGAAAACGAACACATAATTATGTGGAGAGGAAAAGACTGGAAGTCATCTCTCCTACTACCTGAAGATGGTGCAAAGGGTGAAGAAAGTTCTGAAGCTGACAGTGCTGCATCTTATGGCCACTCTTTGGATTCTGAGGATGAAGAAGGTTCCCAATGTTCCTCGAATACGCCAAATCAGGGATTAAATGCTGAAATGTCCAATCGAAGCAATGGTTTGGCTGATGATCTAGATGTGGGTGTTACAAAAGTGGATGATAAATTCTCTGTGAAAGATGATGCATCATTGGAGGTCAATGAAGTTGATCCATCACAGATAAGTGACCTAGGAAATAAAGTCATATCAAATTCCGATAATTCTTCTGGTGAAATCATTGCTTCTGGTGTTGGTTCATTAGACAAGGAAACTTGGATAGTTGACAATATTTCTCATGACAGGGAGCCTACTTCATTAAGTCCTTCTGGTTCTGAATTAGATGTAGATGGTACTGCTGACTTGGAAGTGTCGTCGGGGAACTCTTCTGATGATTCGGAAGTTAATGGGGGGACACAAGGAAAGTTAGAGACCTCATCAGCAAACCCTCATTCCGCGCTATCTTCTCCATGCACTGAAGGTGTTCAGTTTCTTTTAAGACAAGCTGTAGAAAGTGGAAGAGCTGTGATACTTGATACCAGTTCCTTAGATGCAGACGTGGTTTATGAAAGATCAGTCTCCTTTTCCGTTGAAGCTCCACCTGGACCTGTTTTTACATACTATCCTCGGAAAGTGGCCATTAAAGAAAGTGAAAACCAAAAATCTGGGGATTCAGAAGCTGAAGAATCAGTACCAGTAGCAGGTCCTGTAAATAAATCAAAGGAAAAGAAGTCAAAGGAAAAGAAGAGCTCTACTCACAAGGAAAAGAAGAGCTCTTCAACTCACAAGGAAAGAGATTTTGAACAGGAGTTTCTAGATCTAGTTCCCCAGGGAAGTCTAAAAATAGATGAGCTTGCTAAGTTGCTGACTTAATATGCTATGTGATTGCATAACTCTCGTATGACCATCAGTACGGGTTATTACGATTTTTTTTTGGATACAGGGTTTTTGTTACCTGGTGCATAAAATCTTACTGTCTGATGTAGTCTTTCAGCGTATACTGATATACTGGAATCATGGAATGGTATTATACTTTGTACGTGTGTGAAAACAAAACTTTGTACATATATGCAGCTTCAGATTGTATCAAACTACATCAAACTATATGTCGAGCTCATATTCATAAATTTCATTACCTGAAAATTATTTGATACATTGATTTTGTGATCGGACAATCAATACATACCCTTCCGATGCTATTTTTAAAAGATTTTATCTATATTTAAATCTTCCAACCACCAATACCCATCACCTTAAACAGAACCAAAATTTAATGAAATAATGTTTCCACTTCTATTAGTTTATTTAACATAAGATGAACATGAACTAATAAAAGATGATACTAGTTTCAAACATAAAAAGCTAGGTAAAAGATTTAGACTTGATGTAAATTAGCCAAAAGAACAAACAAAGAAAATAGATGTATGAGCCAGCTAGTTCAATTCATTCATTATTGTCTTGCTGCAAACAAAGTTTGTTGTATTCAAACCATCTCCCTCTAATCTAACTTCTGTGATATCTGTCAGTCTCTAGGAGTATAAATCGTTCCACTGCGATTTCATCAATAGAAACTCGAAATCATCGATGCATTGGTCACCCTGCTTATTCGCTGCACCAGTTGTGCTGATATTGGTCTGCATCATATTCTCTGTACCTGCACCAGTCGCGTGGATATTAATCTGCAGCATATTTTTCGTGCCTGCACCAGTCGTGCTGATATTGGTCTGCAGCATATTCTCTGTACTCTTAATATTAGTCAGGTTAGTAATTTTGCTGATATTGGCCTGCATCATATTCTCTGTACCTTCAATATAGCTATCCATGTCCTCTCTGTCCTTCATCATAGCCTCCGGTAATGGGATGAACTCCAATGGACCTCGAGCCTTCAGCTCTAAAACTTCCTTCCTCGCTTTGGTCCTATCCTTCAAAGGCGAAGCTTTTAACCACATTCCATACGGTGTTGCCTCCCCATTACTTGCACTAATACCTCCAGACAATCCTTATCAGTATGACCAATCAACCCACACTCGAAACAAAGCATAGGAAGTCTCTCATACTTAAACACAACCCAAGCATCCTGTCCTGCCTTATTCTTTATCTTCTGCCATCTCTTTATAGGCTTCCTAATATCCATCAAAACTCGTACTCTAAACGATGTCTCCCACCCTACCTCATCAATCTCATTCACCTCTACAACCTCCCCTACCCTACTCGCAACAGCCTTAGCATCCTCAACCGTGTTACTATCAAAGGGCAAGTCATAAATCCTTAACCAAAACAAACATTGTGTAAATTCCACTTGCCAAGGTTGCTTGCCACTTTCGACTTCTTTAAGCACCAACAATTGGTTATCAAAGCACCATGGCGCGCCATCTTGTACCTTCTTCATGTCTTTCCAATGAAAGAATTGAAACATGAAGATATCATAGTCTAGATTTCGGATTACAACCCCGTTCGAAAGATTCCATACACTCTTAAGTGTTCTTTTCATGGCTTCTTTGTTAAATTTCTTGTTTGTTATAAGTTGTCCTAGTAAACATAAAGATAAACGAACATCCATCTTTGCACCTTCTACTCTAAGGTCTACGTACTCTTTTTCTTCAGGGGATATATTAAGGTTTTTCCAACGTGAAGATAAATCATCAGCCATGATTAATAATAATCCAAGGTCTTGGAGTTTTAATACTATGAAAATTGGGTGAGCAAAACTATAAACCCTACTTTGGAAGACTTTGTGTTGAGTGAAAACTACTAAAGATAAATAAATTTGATTATTTGATTCCTAAATCTAATAACTTTACAAAAATATCATTTTTTAGTTTTATATGACCTCCACAAGATCAATTAGGTTTGGAGTTGTCAACTGCATCTTTTATGTGGACCGGGTTTACAATAAGTTTACCATGAACGCATTTATATGTTTGTTAGTATTTGGAATGGATTGTTTTTTATTAGCATAATATTAATTAGTGGAACTATTTTGTTTATATATTATTAAATTAAACTTTTAATAGAAAAAGGTAACCTGAAGAATTAAAACATTGACTTGAACAACAAAAAGGTAAATTAACTTCGTAATAATTATATTATCATACAAAAGTTGTACTGCTTACAAAAGTCTATCTATACCTTTGCACACTTGCTTTGGAGATCAAGAAAAGTATTTAAAGGGTGGATTTAAAGACAAACCAAACAAGCAAGAGAATTTTTATTTAATAGTAGTTTCAAAGAAGAGCAAACGACTAATTTGGGGAGTATTGAAACTTAAAAGACAAGCATATTACTATATTAGAGATTGTAGTCTCAAGGATGATAGGTGCAGAATGATTGAACCTTGTAACTAAGAATTTTAGTTGTTTCGCCAACAATTATATGAAACAATCTTCATTTTGAATATCAGATTCTTAAACTAACTTACTGGTATCGATGTTATATTGATTGCATTTGCCTCTCATCAATGAACGTTGTATGATTAAGAGACTGCTATTTTGTCTGCGTCTCAGTTATACATTATCAACGAGGGAGCAGGGGGGGCGGCTTGAGTTGCCTGATTGCCTTTGAGGTAGGGTTGAAGTAATGAAATACTAGTATAAGATATGGCCTATACCCAAATGATGTTCCTACGTAATCACGCCATTTGAAAACACACTTAGGTGTGACACTGTCACATGAATAAGATGATCTTTACAGCAAAATTTTTACTCTTAAATAAAGCCAAAGAGGCGCGTTTCCTACGACAAAAATTCTTATAGCATCAAATTAACAGATAATTATACTAAGCACAATCTCCTCAACAGTACAACTTGTCAACTTGATGCTTCAGAAGTGACTAAAGATGCCAACCTTTCTTTGATATACTACAGACCTAGAGTAGAAAGATTTATGGCTACAGCTCAGCAAGTCTCAGCTGCAATTTACCATTTATATAGAAAGAATTTCAGCTGGACTCAGTTTTTTTTTAACAGTAATAGCATCTCGGCTAGTCTCCTCACCAAAAGGTCAAAAGATCATATGTCGATTGGGCGACTTCATTCTTCAGCAGCTACATTTCCCTCCTCCAATTGCCTCTGCTTCTCATGTTCCACTGAAAAAAGAGCAAATGGTTAAGCAAATTCATGCTATGAAGGCTAGTTGTTTGAACTAATTAATTTCTCATTCCCGAGTAGCATATATTTATGTTGTATTTATGGAAAACAGATAAGCTACTAATAATTATCACATTCACTCTAATTAAAAGCTATATTCGGTAGGGAACTTGACACAAGTCCAGATACCCACAATCTGAAAGAAAAAAATTCAGCATGTTTGCAACATCAATTGAAAAGCTAAATGACAAATTGACAAGCATGTCCATGTGTAAAATTGCTAAATAATTAAGGGCAAAGTACACAAATTCGATATGAATTGGATTATGACAAGAGGATCTTAAGACACACCAGGCACTTGAATGGACTCACTGTAACTACATCCCCAAAAGTTAGATATGTATATGATTGATCCCCTTGCACAAGTCCCTACGACCCAGTAATGGAAGTAATCCTCACTACCCTACAAAAATAACTCCTAAATTATACATCTAAAAATACCTAATAATCTTTTCTTTCTTTTTTTCCCCCCTAGGTAGGAATGAAGGATTTTACAGACATAAAAGGGGTCATTAACCTCGTATCATAGTATAAATTTGGAAGTATAGAGATAGAAAACCCATTCGAGGTTAATCACAGTTGAGGCACTAAAACAAATTGCTCTATAATAATGCTCTATAGTATGAGCAACTGAGCAGAACTACTAGACATTTTTTTATCCATTAAAATATTTAGAACATGACATGTTAGAAGCAAATAAGAAACGTACACATCAGCTTATGCAATGCCTTTTGTGTCCGCTTTTCTAGTTTATCTAGCTTCTTCTGCACATCCCTCCTGAGGTCCCAATTGGGTTTTTTCGGTGCAATGTTCAGAAAAGGATCCTGCATGCGCTTGCAATATTAGCACGCTTCCATAAGAAAGTCAATGTACCATAAAAAACTATTCTTAATCATGAGAATGATAAATGGCAGATGTTCACAGAAGCTAACCTCTTTTTCTTCTGGCGGAGGAGCTGCAGCAACAGGATCCTCAAATTTTGGCAGTTCTGGTGCAGCAAGTTTACCCTCTTGTAGATGTTTGTCATGAGGAAGGTAATTTCGAAATTTCAAGCTAAGACCACTGCAAAAAGTAGGATTCTACACTTCAGTAACTTTAAAGTTCTGAGAGCATCAAGCAGGACACAACGAATAACAGGTAACCAATCATCTTAATCCAAGGAAATGGGTTCCTTAACCACTTTGTCAGATTTTTAGCTAATTGAGGTTCTAAAAGCACATCAAGTAGGATACAGAAAATCATGAAATCAAGAATAAGGAACGGGATTATTTGTCACATTATTAACAATTTGTCCTCAAAAAGCCTGCAACAAAAGCACAGTGATAGACCAAAAACCTATTGAGAGTAGTGATAACACTCAATTTACCCGAGCTACAAGCTGAAACTAATTCTACCAACCTTCAAGGTTAAAGCAGCCAATTCATTCAAACCATCACAAAGAACTCTCGTAAAAGGAACAAAAAAAAAAGTTAAATGAATATAATTTTAGAATTAACAACCAATCATTCAGGTTCCTGGCCTGTAGACTGTACAATACTAACAGATCGTGGCAAATGGCAATAGCAGGAAAGAATGTCAAGCTATGACTAACCTACAGGGCTACAGCAGATGACTACAATGGCAATAGCAGAAAAGAGTGTCTGGCTATGACTCACATACAAGGTTACTGCAGATGACTACTCCTATTGTCTAACTCAAAGGCCAACCAGTTCAAGTTTGTTGTTTTAAGGGCCAAGTACAAGAGGCAGAATCTTGATAAGCTATTTTTTGTTTAAGAAGAGGGATCGGCTACTCAAATTAAATGGTAACCTTTTACAGTTTGCAGAGACGAAAGGAAACATAGTACCAGTGCATAAGTACTTGAGACTTCTTAAACAAAATTTCCTTGCAACTCTACAATTTTGTGAAAGGAAAAATTGAAGATGAAAGGCATATTATGATAGGCATTAAGCGCGGGGAATAGAAAATGCGAAAAGGAAAATGAGCATAGCCTACCCGGGCTACCACCCTAACCATTCTCATACAGAGTTCATGTTCTATAGTAACTCACTTTATTGCCCCCACCATCCCCACATTAATCTTTATTACCACCACAACCATCATCAGATTCACCACGAATGTCACTTCTCTCAATATTGAAGCACCAATTTGCTCGAAAGCTTTGAATTCTACCATGACACAAAACTTCCAGTTCATTTTGCTAAAATTACCATAATTGTTTGCCCTAGATTCCACTTCAATCCTCTAACTATACTTTTCTTCTTCTCAACAAAATCATCTAACCCTTCCACAAACTTCTCCTTAATGCTCGAAATCAAATTCAATAATATACACCGGAATCATCTAACTAGATGTCACTTCAATCCTCTAACTATACTTTTCTTCTACTCAACAAAATCATCTAACCCTTTCACAAACTTCTCCCTAAAGCTTGAAATCAATTTCAATAATATACACCGGAATCATCTAACTAGATGCCACTTCAATCCTCTAACTATACTTTTGTTCTTCTCAACAAAATCATCTAACCCTTCCACAAACTTCTCCTTAAAGCTCGAAATCAATTTCAATAATATACACCGGAATCATCTAACTAGATGCCACTTCAATCCTCTAACTATACTTTTCTTCTTCTCACCAATATCAACTAACCCTTCCACAAACTTCTCCCTAAAGCTCGAAATCGAATTCAATATTATATATCAATCAAATAAGCTAAACAATTAGGGCACAAATTACACAATCACAAAAATATATCAATAGCTCAAAAAAAAGCATTATAATCAATGTAAAAGCAATATTTGATAGCAGAATAAGAATCAAAACCTGTCTTCATTGTTATCAGCATCTCCATCCTCAGAATTGTTTTTGGGTTGAGACGAATCTTCATCTGGGGTTTCGAAAAGCTCTTGAGCTGCTCTTAGAGCTCTCAATCTTTCTCTCCTCTCTGCTGCTGCTTGTTCAATTGAATCTTCTTCTGCCGCCATTGAAGCTTGCTTCAACAAATTACTACGATAATCACAAATTGAGAATCAGATAATTATAATTTTGATTGGGAAACTGCTGGAGAAAATTAATTGGAAGAACACAAATTCGGAAGCTGGTAAAGCAAAAATCCTAACCTTTAGAAGAATTTCTGTAATTAGGGTTTTGGTTTTTTTGAATTTGATTTGATTTTACAGGTTCCGCTGAAAAAGAACACTGATTCTGATTGTTATGTCGGTCTTAACTTCTTAAGTGGTGAGGCTAAACCGCTAAGCCAAACCAACACAGGTCATAGGACGTGGGTTAGCGACTAGTGAGCGTGTTTATAGTAAGATCGTACTATGAGCTCGTATTAATTATGGATGTCGATTAATATGATTTGTTAAAGTCGTATAAACAAACTAGCTAAGTGTTACTTTAGAAGAATACTACAAGAGGGGGGGTGAATTGTAGTTTAAGATAATTGAGCTAACTTTTTGCGGAATTGAAAACTATTAAGCTACAGGAACTTGTAGTTTAAGATAATTGAGCTAACTTTTTGCGGAATTGAAAACTATTAAGCTACAGGAACTAGAAGTGAACACAGAGAGATTTTACGTGGAAAACCTCTTGGCCCTAACAAGAGGAAAAACCACGACCACTTGGGATTTTAGGAAAGATTCTCCACTATAACAAGGCAAACAACCTATTACAAGCTAAAGAATCAATCTTCAAGTTCCTCTACGAACTTGAAGTTCCCAGCAACAAGTCCCACTACTTGCTACTCTTTCTCTTCTCTATTCTCTTCTCTCTCTTTCTCTTCTAACTTCTCTAAGAGTTCTCTCAAACTCCCAATTCCCAAATTACAACTCAATGACAAACTCTAGTGAAAGTAATTAAGAAAAACACTTAAGTGGAATGCGACTCTTGACTCTTTTTTGTAAACAAGAAAGATAGATAAAAGTATTTGAGCAAGGTAAAGTGTATTCAGAAAATAACTTCAATATTTATAGGAAAACATTGCTTGGAGAAAACGCCATAATCTCCACCACTTGCACCACCTCTGTTTCATATCAACTCCACTACTCAACACCACTTCCAAAACTCTTAATCGTGTCCAAAAAACCAGGGCACGTTTAATTCTTAAAGAAGCAGTATGTTCGTGAGTGGGGAAGACCAAATCAAACAATCAGTAGCGCAAGTTTAGGAAATTAGTTTTGCAAAGATATTTTTCCAGAAGATAACTCCTCAGCGTTTTAAAGATAAAATCAGAAAAGATTTTCTCAAACAACTTCTCCTATTTTTTAGCAAGTCAATAATTATCCTTTTTCAAATGCATTCCACTTAGCATTAATCCTAATTATTTTTCACTTACATAAATTCTAAAATAGAAAAATACTTCGGACTTTATGCTTCTCTAAGAAGTCTCTTCTCCGAGTCTTCTTTCCTTAGCTTCTGCTCCGAAGCTCCAGTTCCTTCTCAGGAACTCTTCAGCTGATCCCTTGAACTTTTAGATCTTCGTTTTCCTTAGCCTTAAGTGAATCCTGTGATTTATAGACAAACTACAAGACTCACAAAATTCATTAGTTTACTTGTTTGACTTGTGTTATCATCAAAACATCAAGGGCAGCACTAAGAACTCGGGAACAAATTACATGTGTGTCATTTATATTTGTGTTCTCTAAACGGTTTAGAATATGACTACACGAGTATTAATTACTCCAATAAAATTAGATTTACCTTATATTACAGTTAAAATAAAATAAGATTGAACCAAAACACAAATAACAATGTTTTTTGCTCTGCAGTTTCATGTGTTGACAATCGGTGAACACCAAACTAAATACTACTTATTTAGTAAACAAGTTGGTGATACAGGCTAAAGTGATATTAAAACTTTGAGTTAAGCACACAATTAGGTACTCAATTCTTTAAAATTTCACCTTTTAGGTACTCAATTATTTTTATTTTGCTTTTGGGTACTGAGTTAAGAATTCAAGTGAAAAAAATTAAATCAACCAAAGAATTGAGTACCTTGGGTTAAAGAATTTAGTACCCTTGGTTAAGTATATGTGGGCCGCACTCGATGATACATTTTTATAAGGCTACCATAATTGTTATTTTTGGTAGATTCAGGTTCATAGCAGGAAGCTTAATGTTTTCTATTGCATACTAACTTCAAGTGTAAACAGCAAATTCATATGCTTGCATTTTATGAAGTCATGCATAGTAATTGTCGGTCTTCTCTGCCTACGTTAGAATTGCCACTTCCCCAGCGTATGAATCATAGTAATATGATCAGAGCTCCTTTTCCTAAAGTAAGCAAATGTAAGTTTGGGTTTTTGCAAAAGCCTTTATTCTTGTTTTGTCGCTTATTCTTTATCTGGAACTGTTTTCTGGTGATTTAATTTTTTGGAATGATCATATTACTATGATTCATTTCCTTTGGGTCTTTGAAACTGTCCTTATTCAGGATGATATTGTGTTTACACTAAAAAAAATTTTGATGAATTTTCTTGTTGTTTTGATGAATTTTCTGCCAGGTTCATGCCTAATTTCTTGCTGTATTGGATGAAACCAACGGCTAGTTTCTTAGTCTAATTTAATACATTTTTTTATAAATATTAATTTTTAAATCGGGTGGGGTCCACATACTTAACCAAGGGTACTAAATTCTTTAACCCAAGGTACTCAATTCTTTGGCTGATTTAATTTTTTTGGCTTGAATTCTTAACTCAGTACCTGTAGACACCCATTTGTGTCTCCCCAAAACCAAACCCAGTGATGAGTACCTTTTGCGTCGAATCATAATCGAATGAAGTGAAAGTGTGGAAAGTCTAGCGTTGCAGATAGTTTTAATTTCTTTTCTTTTCTCTCTGTTTTTGAAAACTTATTTTAAGAAAACAGTCAATCCAGTTTGGTTGGTCCATGATATGGGTCCAATAGTAGTGTAGTTGGATGGGGCTTGCAAAGACCTTTCCAACGATATATTATAAGCCCAATTCCGATGAATATTGAGGAAGTTATGGCCAATTTACCAAACTGGGCCCGGTTTGAGCCTAATATGCGACCCAATGATCTAGAGGAGGGCCTATTATTAATTATCATTCCTAAAGCTATTAGGATTGATTATAGTCTTCTAGAATACTCTAGAAGGTTCTTTTAAATCCTAATGGAGTTAGGATTGATAATTATGTTTTAAAGAGTTTGAAATTGAATAAAACTACTCCTTTTAAGAATCCTTGTTTTGTACGAAGTGGAATATATTCAGATTTTATTTTCGTGCCCCATAATATTTATCCAAATTTTATATGGTTGGATAGATCTTGAAATTATCTTTCCAATGATATATTATAATATTAAATCCGAGTTATAACGAAAAAGATATGAATGAGACATGAAACTTTATCCAAAACTGACACCCTTCCACTATTTTGGCCATATATTTTTATCTACATAATATTTTAATCTGATTCTAATTGGGTTGGAAAGTAGACTTTAAGATATTTCCAACGACATGTTATATGCCTTATTTGGACTTCCGGATCAAAAGATATGATAAAAACAAAAACGCATTAAAAACAGGCTTGGCGCCTGACTCCAGGCATTGGCGCCTGGAACCAGGCTTGGCGCCTGGTGCTAGCCATTGGCGCCTGGTGCCAATGACCAATGCCTGGCGCCAACTTCGTTTTGCGTGCGCCAAAGTCTGTTTTGTTAATTTTATCTTTTTGGCTGATTTTCTCTATAAATAACGTATTAAAACTCCGTTTTCGATAACCAGATTTCATCAATTCTTATTTCAATTCACCAACTCTCATCAAGATTATTCTCTCTTTCTTTCTCCTTTTTCTAAACTAATCTTTCACATACAATAATTCCGCATTCGCAAGATCTAGAAACACCTAGCCATATTCGAAGTTGCCTTCGCCCTAGATGTGAAAGGTTTAATTTCTGAGGGTTTGGTCTCAAATCTCTCTTTCAATTATTTAATTTAATTGTTTGTTTATTATTTTCCTTGAAGTTACTAACGTGTGTATTTTGTTATTAGAAAGGGGTACGAAGCATCAAAGTAAGTATTTTAATTGATTAATTGATATTATGATGTAGAAATCATGTTTATATTGTTATTATGATATTCCTATTATCATGTTTAGGGAAAAGGTTATAATATCAAATATGCTTATTATGATTCATGCGATACTTCCTATATTCTTCCTAATATTTATGATTGTTAGTATCATGTTAGGGTTAAAGCTTTGATTTTTATTGCTTAGTGACATGCTAGGGTTTGTTATTAATCTTGTTAGTATCATGCCTAGAATCTTGCTATGTTCATTGTGCTTTAATATTAATATGAGCATGATTATGATTATGATTTATGATTATTATTATTATTATTATTATTATTATTATTATTTTCATGATGATTATTATAATTATTATTATTCATGTTTATTCATGATATTGATTATTTATTATTATGTTGCTTGGTACATTATTTTTATTGTTATTGCTTGATCACGCCTTTTATGCATGCTTAAAGGGAATTTGGTACTTGTAATCACGCTTAATAAGATATTAATAATCTTGTTTAGGGTTAATATGATTATAATTCAAGTGATCGCCAATAATAGTTTATTTGTGCATTAATATTCAACCAACATAGATTAAACAGGTTTAGGGTTAACCTATTGATTGTATGTTAGTCAGAAAGCGCACATGAATACGATCAGAATAAAGTAGAGGCCTATTATTAGGGCAGATTCAATCTCTTTTAGGTTGGATTTGTACCTTCATCCCCGAACCCTTATTTGGTTCATGACCTTATGGAGTTGATGATCTCTTGGATCGTTAAGGGGTGTAACCTTCACCTCGTGAACGGTTTACAAGTTCCTTAAAAACTTGTTGGCGACTCTTTTGCTCTATCTTCTTCCCTTTTGGACGCCACCGTACTTTAGTGTATGATCACAGTGGGGTTCAAGCTAGTGGGATTTTAAGGGGTTAAAATTATTCCCTACAGTACCCAAAAGCAAAGTAAAAAGAATTGAGTACCTAAAAGGGGAAATTTTAAAGAATTGAGTACCTAATTGTGTGCTTAACTCAAAACTTTCTCAACATATAGAAAATTAATTCTTCTAAATAGTTTTAAAGTTTTATATATGATTTTTAAGTTAAATATGAACCAATCCGAGAAGCGATTTTTAATGGAATTTGGATTGAACCGGACTACAAATCGAACACTTCTATTTTGTAACTCGAATATTGGATCAGTTCTCGTTGATCAGATTCTACCGATTAT